TCAGACATCTCCATATATGAGTCTCATTGTAAATCGGTTGAGGAGATTTTTCTTACCAATGCTTCCTCTGAACTTGTTATGTATTCTTTATAATCTTTATTTTTATTTTTATTTTTTCTTTTTTTTTGTAATCATTATTTTGTTATAATCTCTACTTTGTATTTTATCCTGATCTCATTTATTGTATCTTTTTCTTTTTTTTTGTACTAGTGGGTTTATCCCGTAAAACAAATAAATAAATAATTCAGATATATATTTTTATTCGTTTGTTCGGTCTTGTTTTGGAAGGGGTGTTTTAAAAAGTACATATACTGACTCTCTACGCCTGGGTCCATCCCATCCTCGGTCGGGTAGGTGCGTCGGTTTTCCCATATAAATACCGGGCGTAGGTGTGTGGGCTCTTTGTGTAATTGAATAGTCTACTCTTATCCGTCGTCCATCAATTTCCATTCCTGTGCATTGTTCTTTAGCAACTTTAGCATCCTCGGAGGATTCATAATAAACAAAGCAAAAACCTTTAGATCGTCCTGTCTGAAAATGATAGAATATATTAGTTAAAATTTAATGTTAAACCATGATTTGGTAGAATTTAAAAAATATTGTAACCAGAGGCCTTTAACGTTTCACATTTACTTAATAGATAAAACGTTCTAAATCTCTGGCAGTTTATTGTTCCCTTCGAATAAATATAAATATATATATATATAAATATATATATATAAATATAAATATATGAATCTGTAAAGGGTAAAAATTGAGTTATAAAGAATTTATATACAAGTACCTTAGCATCGATAACAATTTGTACACTTTCAACGGGTCCATGTTTGGAAAAGATGTGATGTATTTGTTGTTCTGTTGTAAATATGGAAAGTCCAAAGACACCTAAACATCGAGAAGGAGAAGGATTTTCTCTGTTACCAACATGACGTCTTCTAGTCGACATCGGACTGCGAGAATGTGACCGATAAATGTTCCTTTCACGTTCTCGCGAATAACGGGAACGTGAGTAAGATCGAGATCTGCTGCGAGAATATCTGCCACCTCTGTAAAGAGACCGACTGCGACTGCGACTACTTCCACGATGACCAGTACCAGTATACTTATTACTGCGATATGACTTTCGGCTTCTTGATAATGAACGACTACGTGATCTGGAGTATTCTTTGACCGCTCTATGTGATTCTTTTCGTTCACGTGATTTTCGTGATCTTGAATGTGAACGAGAATCTCTAAGACCACCATCTGCTGTCCGTGGCCTTCGGGGACTGGAACTTCGACTACCACTTCTCTAAAAAATTAAACCATAAAGATATCAGTTTAAAATAATGAATGATACACATATAATATAAGAGCATGTGTTTTATATAATCAGATATTTAAATATTAGGGAACAATAATAGTTTCTTCAGCATTACATCAAAGCGAGCTGAGTAGATCATCATTATATTGTTGATTTTCTATTCAATAAAAATATATTTACTAATAGGCCATATACAAAAGAAAAATTAAAGATAAATACAAATTCTTGGATAAATTTATAGTTTTGTGTTAAAAAAGCAATACGATATATATACACAAGATATATATATATATATATATACCACATATACCACAATATATTTATATATATATATATATATATATATATACCACATTGAATGTCCTATATATTTGCTAAATAAATATTCGTAAGAATGATAGTTTTTTCACAGTTAAATATTGATAAAAATGTATATACGTGTATATACATATATATATATTGTATAGAAAAATAAATAAATTAAATAATTGTAATTTAAAATATACACGCGACGTGCGTAGAACATTACGGATCGATAATGGCTGTAGTTGCTGGCCGCATGTGTAACATATTTGTTTAATATTACAAATAAATGGAAAATAATAATCGATTATTATAATACGTTACTTACTTCGATATCGCTCATTATCAATTTATAGACAAAAACTATAGAACAAAATTAAACGTAAGGAATCTAAACGAATATAGAATCGATGTTATTTCGTGGCGTCAATATACAATAATGGCGCAGGATCCTGTATTTTTCGGGCGTTTCAGCGGGTAACGAACGGAAATAGTGATATTTTTCAATAGGAACTAGAAAAACACCAACATCCGGCGTTGCTAAGAAATCTAATACCATTGGATAATAAATTGGCGCCACATGTTAAGCTATATTTAAATTTTACGCGCGAATAAATTTGAACGACGATATCTTTTTTTAATTATAAAAAATCTATCTTTATTTAAATGATAAAAATTATACATTCATAGATAAATAGATCGTACATTTATCCATTTTCTTTGAATCATTATAGGGAAGGATATTAAAATAAGTGAATTGTAATATTTAAGGTTTTATTTAATCGTAACGTAATCATAGAAAGTGAAATAATTTTAAATATAACAGGCGTTACTTTAATTTATTAAATGTAGATAAGATTAAAGAGATATATTAAACTTGTAATTTATTTATTTTATTTTTTATTTTAAATGATACCGAATTGTACGTTTGTTATTCAACGAATTCAAAAAATTGTAACGATTAAATAAAATATCCCTAGATAATATTTAAACGGTTTTTGTTAATTGAACTATATAGAAAGTTATTTGAATAATATTAATTTGGTATTATTTTTTACCGCACACATGAAAGAAAAATATAATATAACAAATTTTTTCTTATCCAAAATTTTTCCTAATATTATTACTAAGTTTAATTCTTAGGGATGTTTTTTTTTTTTGGACAGGTTTAAATTAGATGAACAATCTATTTATCCGTTGAACGTTTCGTCCCTATATTGGGACTTCCTCAGCAACTAAAATTTTTTATTATGACATATTATTACTTATACAAATACAAAAAAAAAACTTACAATAATAGCATTATGTCCACAAGTCAATATAACATAATTTCTCATTTCAGTCATAAGTATTTACTATCTTATATATAGAGTCAATTTTTAAAAACGATATCCTACCATTACTTTTCGAACACTACTGGTTACCTCTAAGCTGGTGTTTCCTAATTTAGATGTCTTTACTATTATTGTAACCTCTGTTACGTGTCTTGTTGTGGTAATTAAATTTTAAAATTTCGTTATATGTGCTATTTAGATTATTAGTATCGGTTCTGAAATTAACTGTATTATTGTTTGTTATATGGTACATTTCACTGATATTTCTTATTTTTTTGTTGCATTTGTATAAGTAATAATATGTCATAATAAAAAATTTTAGTTGCTGAGGAAGTCCCAATATAGGGACGAAACGTTCAACGGATAAATAGATTGTTCATCTAATTTAAACCTGTCCAAAAATAAAAACATCCCTAAGAATTAAACTTAGTAATAATATAATATAAATATTCTTTATATGTTAAAAATTTTTGAAAGTTATATATATATCATAATGATAATAATTTATATTTTTATATATTTTTAATAGATGTCGTTTAAACCGGCATAAGTGTGTATATGCGCAGAAATGTGCGCGTAGTTAATGCGTCTATAAAAATTGTTCATATCGAATATTGCCGCAGAGCCACATAGAAGAGGAAGGATTCTCCGGTAGTCAGCGAACCATTTTTCTGTCGTCAAACGGATCAAGCTTTTTGTGAGATTTGGATCGATCACAAAAAGCGGGATTCGCTTTTCGCATAGGAATTGGCCTGTTGAAGGAGTCTACCCTCCCCCCGAGCTTAGTCGCATAGAACCTTTATAAATTGTGAGTAAAATAATAAAATAATCGTGACTTTATATACGAATTCGCGTTTTATCAAAGATGCATATCCAACCGGTCAACCTCTACGAATACGTCTTTTTCTATTTCAAAATGAAACTTTGTTTTACTTCGAATACATTGAAGAATTCAACTAACAATAAGTAACGTTTAAATATTAATCGATCTATTTTTCATACCGTTTTACATAGCATACATTCATTTACCATTAATATATTTAAAGTTAATCGATGAATTTTACAACTATCATGGCTACCAGTGCCGGTTTTTACTATCATTTGATTTAATTTTAAATTAATGGATATCGTATTTGCTTTTTAAATTTGCCTTTTTATACATTTAACAAGAGTTTTACTCATGTTTCATTTCTCTTAATTTTATTCAACTATCTTATATTAATATTTATCTATTACTTTTTTTCTTCTTCTAGAGAGTTTATATTTCATTGCGTAATGATTAATCCTATCGTGAAAATCTGTTTAAGATAGAAGAAAGTAATGCATATATAATAATAAGTTGTTTATAACTTCTCAAGAACATTTGTACTTCTCTATTTAATCTAAATATTGAAATTGAGAGTCAGTCGTTACTAAATAGTTCTGTCTATTGGAAATCAACACGTTAACGAATTTCATATTTCTTGTACATGTTTTTGCTCAATTTTTCATATGCTAGTTTAAATATATATTATTATTATATATAGAAGATATTGTATCTTTGACAAGCTTTATTAATAAGAAGTTTTCGTTAGAATATCATTACAAATCGTTACAATATTGTTATAAATTCTCAATATTACTTAAAATTATGATCATAAATTTTGTCAATTATTTTTTACATATAATATCCTTTACAATTACAATCATCAATCATAATTAGTTCTAATTATTGATTCATACATTATATTACAAAAATACAGTTTAAATAATAAGATTAATAATAATTAATCTAATTGAATTAATAATAATCTAATATTATTCTTTAAGCTATTCAATATTTTATTCATTTTCACATCGTTTATAAATAAACACACACACACAAACATGTATACATACTATAAATAAATTTATGTATGAAATTCTTTGAATTAACATTGAAATTTATTTCTTTTTTAAGATTTATAAAATGGAAGAAATACGTCAACAACATCATCAACAACCACTACCACTACCACCACCACCACCACCACCACCACCACAACAACAACAACAACAGGTTGGACCTAATATGTTGGTCAACGTAGGTAACGTTTCCACCCATTCAAGTAATTCCCATCGCCGCAGCAAAGCACGGTTAACATTACAAGCTATGATGTCTGAATCATTATCACTATCAGAAGCAGCTCGTTTAGAAATGGAAGCATTACCTAATAAGACACCTGTATCGGTTCTTCAAGAACTACTTTCTCGCAGGGGTACAATACCTCAATATGAATTAGTTCAAGTGGAAGGTGTTATACACGAACCAACATTTCGTTATCGAGTTACCGTTGGTGATATTATTGGTAAGTATTTAAATAATATTTATATAAAGGTAATTTTATATATAATAATTCTGCATATACGTTAGATACGATTTAACAAAATGTAATACTTTTTCATTTATCATTATATCATTGTGAAAATTATATTATATCAAAAATATAAGATTTAATTATTAAAAAGAAATTTGATTAACGATAAAATAGTATTGTATTTCAGTTAATCCAATTGTTTTTACAGCAATGGGAACTGGCCGATCTAAAAAAGAAGCTAAACATGCTGCAGCTAAGGCTGTTTTAGATAGTTTAATTGGAAGTAGTAATGAGTCGACAGAAGCTGCTATTATAAAAAGTTTGACCAAGTAAGAATACACCTTTGTAAAGAAATTTTTGATATCTATTATTAAGAAACATTAAAATGAATAATATTTATTTATATATATATATATATATAAAAAATAAACTTTGAATATTATGCATTTAGTCAAACTATGCAAGATCTCGAAGGATATGGGGAAGAAAAAGATTTAGCCAATCCAATTGGAGTTCTGCAAGAGATGTGCGTGTCTCGGCATTTCCCACCACCAAAATATACGATGGAAAATGAAGAGGGATTGCCGCATGAAAGAAAATTTACTATCGTTTGTACCATCATGAATTTACGCGAATTTGGTCACGGTAAAAGTAAAAAAATTGCGAAGAGGCACGCAGCTCATAAAATGTGGCGTCTTCTTAACGAATCGGGCGGTTCATTTATTTTGCAAACAGAAGAGGTAAGACTATTCATATATCTGTTTAACACTTTATAAAGTTTAAAATAATCATTTATGTAAATTATGAGAAGGATATTACACAATCTAAAAGAAAATTTAGTATTTTAAATAATGTAAATGTCGATGACAAACGATTATTATTCATTGTTTTTTTTTTTTCGCGTATAATTTTTAACTATATTACTAGCTAGACACATTCAATTTAATTTATAAAAAAAAAATATATATATATATATATATATATATATATATGCATCTTATGTGTGTGCATGTGTTTTGTTTGTGTGCATGTGCATGTATGAAAGAACAATGAAGTGGAAGTAATTTGTAAGAAATTGAAATTTATTTTAGTCTGTCATTTTATTTATAACTATATTACTAGCTAGACACATTCAATTTAATTTATAAAAAAAATATATATATATATATATATATATATATGCATCTTATGTGTGTGCATGTGTTTTGTTTGTGTGCATGTGCATGTATGAAAGAACAATGAAGTGGAAGTAATTTGTAAGAAATTGAAATTTATTTTAGTCTGTCATTTTATTTATAAGAAGCTACCTTTCTGATCATATTTAAGATCTATAGCGGACAATATTGGTACGATTAAATTGCAAATATTACAATAATGATTCATTAATAACAGATTGGTTGTCTTAAAATAACTTATGTTCCTTTTGTCATTTCCACTTCATTTTGTCTCTTTTTATGAAAGTAGTATATTCCATTGTAGACAAATTTCATAAATGTTTAATACAAATTATTGATTAACACGTCCGTTATAGAATGCAAAAAAGTCTGCGAGATTAAATGCTTATTACTCTGACCTGAAAGGTAGCAATGTTGCGACATTATCATCGGCTCATAGTCATAAAGTTTCACAATTTCACAAGAACCTCAAGTCTTCCAAAGGTGTAATACTTGATAAATTACAGGTTTGTATATTTTATTATTTTATCATTAAGTAATTTATTATAATTTTTTTCTATGCTTCTTTATATTCATTATAATTACAAATGAGAATTAATTATAGTTAAATATAGTATAATTTAACTATAGTTAAATATAGTTATTTGTTTCAGGATACTTGTTTGAATGATGGAGATGTAAATTTGGTACAATTCTTGCAAAAGATTTCTTCGGAACAACATTTTGAAGTAACGTATGTTGATATTGAAGAAAGGTCTATTAATGGTTAGTTTATTTATACATTTACATATGTTTAAAATAATAGAAGTTGTAGGAAATATTTTTTTTTTTTTATGAGATCAATATTTTTTTTATCACATAAAATAAATAACACTTCTGTTTCTTTTTTTTCTTTTTTCTAAAAATGAGTTTATAAAGTAATGAAAGGAAATCCAATAATTTAATATTTAAAAATTCTATGCAATATTGCTAATATAATTTATTTTTATAAGTACAAATATTTATAAATGCAATATTTAAAAAAATAGATTAATTAGCCAAACATTAGGATAATTTTCTTTTAATTTTCTGTAACTACTAAATCGATTGATACATCGCTTTCGGTTGTTGGTATGTCGTCTTTTATTTGTTCATTAAATGCTATTGCAATCAAATGCGGTTTCCTTTGCTGTTTTTCAAAAGTATAATTCAAAAATTTATCATAATATCCTTTACCGTGGCCTAAACGTTTTCCTATAAATGTAATAGCATTATATAGTTACACATTAAAATACACATTAATTGCATTTAAAGATTAAAATAATTTACCATTGTAAGTAAAGGCTACTCCTGGTATGAGAATAAGATCTAATCCACCTATAAAGAAAGAAAAGAAAATATTTTTATTTTTGTGATATTTTTATTTAGTGTAATATAATTGATACATTTGAGTTTTTCATTTACCGGATTGGAAAGAATTTTCTCTAGCTTCAGAAAAGTCTGGTTGCTTAATGTTCCATTTTGTTAATGGTAGTTTATCATAATCATCCATAGAAAGTAACTTAACCATTTCCATGGTGTTTCCACTATATCTGGGAACAAACACGTCCTTCCCTGTTTTGAATATGTCTTTCAAAATAAGTGTAGTGTCAATTTCGTCTTTAGTACTAAGATATATGGAAATCCTTTTACTATTTTGGTATTGCGGTAAAGCTTTCAACTGAAAATAATGTATTTTAAAATCATTGTATTATTTTCTAGATTATATTAATGGTTATCCACTATGGAACATAACCTCTTTTGGTTAAAAAGTTCTTGAATTATTAAAATACTTGTATGAAAAATAGTTTATCTTACTTTTTCAAATACTTTCATAGATTGTCGTGCTTTTTCTTCAGCTGTGATATTTGAAATTACATTAGCCATTTCTTTTCGTAATAACTTTTTCAAAGATTTTACAGTTGCCATATTGTTCTGCATTTTAGGAATGTGTTCAATAGTATGATAATCAAAACATAATAATTAGATATTTATATATATTTTAGATGATAACAGTTTCTTATATAAGATATATCAAAATCTTCTTATATAAGATATATCACATCTTTGAGAAATATTTTCTTTTTCTTTTTTTACATGTTTATTATTTATTTGATTATTTATTTTTATTATGAAAATATTTAAATGATATAAATAATAAAAATAATAATAACTAAGAATGAATTATAAAACAAATAGCTTATGTGTCAATCGAATGAAATAATAATTATTTGAACATTTGTAACAGTTATTTTATTAAATAATGAAATTTCAGGTAAATGTCAGTGCCTTGTGCAACTGTCCACATTGCCAGTAGCAGTTTGCTACGGTTGCGGTTTAACCAGTAAAGATGCTCAAGCCAGTGCTGCTCAAAACGCTCTTGAATATCTCAAGATCATGACCAAGAAGTGAGCCAGCGCTTTGCTCCTGCCAGCTGTCACTATAAACTGCAAGTCCCATAGTAATATATTATCTAAAAATCTGAATAATCATACGAATGGTAAAATGATGGCGCAGAACAACAACAGCCAAGTTCCAGAAAAGAGAAAAAATGTCCCGAAATTCGAACATATGGGTAACAAAGGTAGAACATCTAAATCATCAATGAAAATGGTCAATTCAATGGTAGGAAACAAGGATACAATTTTAAAGAACATTACTACAACGCAGGATGTTACTGTCGCAGCTACTAGAATGAATTCATCAATGAAGAAAAATAGCAATAATACAGATAATTTAAAACTAAATGATCAAACATTGATTAAAGGTTCGTCTATCTCGGTGACGAATCAAACAAGTTCAACGTTTGGTAGCGGTCGAGGTGTTAACAGTTGCGTCGGTGGTAATGTGAGTCACGAAAATAGTGGAAAGATAAAGGATTACTCGGTTAAAAAATATTCTAACGAAATAGATTCGAAATTAAATAATTATCAAATACAGTCGGATTACGGTAACAAGGATACGTCGGTAACTAATCAGGATTACAAAAGTCGTAATAGTAACGCATCTATGACCAATTTGTCAACGAGATTTTCTAATCAAACGTCCATCCAATCTTTCCATAGAGAAAATCATTTGACTTCTAATATGCATTCACGTCCAACATCGAGAAACGATAGTACCGCATTTGCAGTGGCTAGAAAGGCTTTGGAGCAACAAAATCCAACAGTTGGAAAAATGGCGCCAATCAATTTCCCACCATTGCGCGCACCACAAAGTATAGTGAACGTACGACATCCGTCAGTAACTGAAGCTAGAATTAAACACAACGAGATTAGCGGTGGGTCGAGTATAAAATCGAAATTCAACGTGTCAAGTTCGTTGCAAACTGGTGGTGGTATTAAGGATTTGGAACACGGCAGACAAACTTTTCATAATTATGGTACCTCGCAAATAGCCGGCATTCCAAATGTACAGAATTTGAGTAACGTTACGGCTAATATCTCGGCATATCCGAGACCCGATTCGTTTCCTCAGCCAACTGTTGCCAATGTGTTGTTCCCAGACACAACACCCTTTCCACAATCACCACCATTCAGTACGACACAAATTGGTCAGCTAAATCAATATCAGACATATGATCCTAGTAGCTTTGCGACTACACCAGTAAGTGTTAATCCGGTAATCCCACAGTTCTCAGCAGAAAGTTCAATGCCGTATCCGGCGCAATACGAGAATCCACCACCTCAATTCGTGCAACCAAATCATTATCCAGCAACTGACATGGCCAGCAGTCAATATCAATATCAGCCAGCGGGAGTTGGCCAAATACAAGATTCACCTATGTTCATACAAAGCCTACAAAGTCCAATAACTGTTGCTGATCAATATGCTGCTGCAGCACCGAATTATGCCAGAGCTGTCAGGACTGAGCTGATGCCTCGTTTGAGAAGACCACCGAGATTTAATAAGTAAAAAAGTATCTTTAATCATTAACTCCAACAATTATTCTTTCTACCACATTTTACTAATCAAAAAAAAAAGAAAAAGAAGATTATTAACAAATTTTCTCTATCAACGAAAAAAAAACTGCTGGAACTTGTACTGTTAGAAGAAACGTGCGGATTTTATTAATCGGGGAGAGTTAGTTGATAATTTCGCGGATTTGACATCGTTTAATATTATTTTTTTCTTTTCTTTTTGATTACTTTTTTTTTTTTTCTTTGTTCAAGCTTTGATATTTAAAAAAAATGTATAGACTGCAGTATAGACGTAAAATAACATCTAAATAAGTCACGTCTCTTGTTATTTGACGAGAGTCTTTTTCCTACATAGAGAAAAGAAATGCGATCGAGAGCCCATGAAAAGAATTAATTCATATGACCGATTATATATAAGTTAAAAAAATTCTATTACGCGTTATATATGACGAATGGAAAAAAGATGCGGTAAAAATTATTTCAAATTTTGATCCAACTTGAAATGAATTTTAGCCAATCTTAATTCGTGATCGATAAAACGTGTTAATAACGATAACAGAACGAAACAAGAAAGGTATTTGAATGAATTCTTGATAATAATGGAAGATAATCGCTAGTGTATTATATGTACACCGTTCAAGTATTTGAAGATACGCCAAAAACTTTTTATTTAGCCAATAAGATAAAGTGACACGGCAAGATGGGAGCAGCGCTTTTAGTTCAACTTTAAATAGAATATAAACAATATTACGGTGTAATTAATTATTATTGTCGTGTACTGATTATACGATGAAAAGAATAAGAAAATGAAGTACGAATGTGAAGAAATAAAAAGAGAGATAGAGAGAGAAAGAGAGAGAAAGAAAAAAAAAGGAAGTTGAAGAAGAAGAAGAAGAAAGAAAAAAATTTGCAACAATAAATTTATCAAATTGTAAATAAATTCTTAGTCGCAGATGAAAAATAATAATAGTCATACACACATACATCTTATATTATTATAAAGTATATATATATATATAATATGGTCGCGGAACGTATTTCAGACCTAACTTATTTTCGAATCTTGCGATAATTTTCAACGTAGACGAAAAATTAAAGAGGATGGTTAGGTGAGGTGAGGTGAGGTGGAGGAAAGGATAAAAAAAAATGAAAAGAAAAAATAGAAAAGAATATAAAAAGGTAATAATAAAAAAAGAAAGCATAAAAGGAAGGCTGTGCCGCCCGCGTGTCGCGAGAGTTTCGACAATTTCGCGATAAAATAATGAAAGAAAATAAAACACGGGTAACGAAACTATATCGTGGGGTCACACGTCGTTTACGTTTAATTCAAAACGGAATACTGTGAAATTAAACGAAATAATAAAATGAAGAAGAAGAGGAGGAAGAAAGTCTGTTAGGTTAAAAAAATTGAAAAAAAGAAAGAAAAAAAAATGATAAAAAGAAAGAAAGAAAGAAAGAATGATGGTTCATGATGTCCTTGTAATAAAAGTTCTAATCTTAACGAATGGTATTCTACTACAAACTATACTTTGCATAGAATTAGTGAAAGTTTTCCAGTATGTACACATAATACAATACCATCTTAGATTTACAGCTATGTTTTTAATGTGCTTTACACTATCTACAATTTAATTGCACAAGGGTAAAGGGGGAGGGGTGTAACCTGTAATGTAACACATCTCACAACTGTTAATGTTATCGATAATAAATAGATATGAAAAGAAATGGTGCATTTAAATTGGAATCATTTTTGTGAGAGGAAAAATTAACAAATAACGAATAAAACAAAAAGTGTAAAAATAAAACGAAGGTGTATACATACATATATATATATATAATTAATAAGTAATGTATATGAGTTCTATTTGCAATCATTGTTTGTGTTACATAGCAACGTTACATCTTTCTTGTTACCTCGAAGCGTATTGCACAGTGCAAACTTAGCTTTGAGCGATCTAATAATAATAATTAAATAATAATAATAATAATAATAATAACAATAATAATAATAATAATCATAAAAAATAAAAAAAGATCGCGTTATAATATAAATAATACTTCAATGTTGTATGGTTTTTTTCTTTACAGTTAGTTAAATCATAAATTCATAAGCAGCATCATTTATATGCGTACGATTAATAATTTTTTTTTACAAGATTTCTTAACAAGTAAATGCATCTTATTACTAAGGAACACATTTATTACACTCTTTTTTGTGTGTGCATTCTCAAACTTCGAATTGCTTTTGTACGTTGACCGTCAACCGAATATGAAATTTTCTAACTTTAACAAAAATAAGATATAAAAAAAAACAAGTACATACAATTGATCGTGTAAAATGCTGTGTACGCGCGTGCTCGTTATTTATGTGTATTATTATTCGAATATTTTTATTTATTCGTTTTTTAAACTATATCTTTTTTTTTCAAATATTTGTTTAGTTAGTATACTTTTCTGAATTTGTTTCTTCGTTCTTACACGATTTTGTTCATACGTATGAAAATTAATAATGCATGTTGAAAACGATTCTTTTTTCTTTTCTTCTTTTTTTTTTTTTTTTTTTTTTTTTTTTTT